ACTCATTCACTCACTCATTCACTCACTCATTCACTCACTCGTTCACTTACTCGTTCACTCACCAATTCACTCATTCGTTCACTCACCCATTCCTTAATGCACTCATTCAATTACTCATTGATACTCTCATCCATCTGATCAAGCATCTACTCATTAATGAATTCATCAATTTGCTCATTCAGTTGCTCGTCCATTCACTCATTTGGTCAGTCACCCATTCACTCGTCCATTCACTGATTCAGTCACTCGTACATTCAGTCATCCATTCACTCATTCATTTACTCAGCCATTCCCCCATCCATCCACTCATTCAGTCGCTCATTCAGTCACTCATGCATTCAATCATTCAGCTGCTCATTCATTCACTCATTCAATTATTCATTCATGCTCTCACCCATGCAATCAATAATTTGCTCATTAATGCATTCATCCATTCACTCATCCATTCACTCATTCGTTTACTCAGCCATTCACTAATTCAGTCCCTCATCCATTCACTCGTTCAGCTGCTCATTCAATTATTCACTTGTGCCCTCACCCATTCAATCAATCATTTGCTCATTAACGCATTCATCCATTCACTCATTCAGTCGCTCCTCCATACACATATTCCACCACTCACACATTCACTCGCCCATTCATTCACCCGCTCATCCACACGTTGGCCCGTCTGCCTACCCGCCCGCTCGCTCATCCGCTCGCTCACCGGTGACGTTTGTGTGCCACCCCCCCCCCCTGCCCCCAGGGCGAGATTGGTGAGCACGGCCAGAAGGGGAGCAAGGGAGACAAGGGCGAGTCGGTGAGTCGTCCGCACCGCGACGCGTTGTCCCGTGACGACGTGTGTGTCTCCCCCACCCGTCGCTCGCTCGTACACACGGACAAAGATCCCCCCCCCCCCCGTGCAGTCGTAACGGGCTGTCGGGGGCCAAGCGCTGTTAGTGAGCAGCAGCAGCATCAGCACCTACGGAGGCCGGCAGAGAACGCGAGGGGGCGGGCGGGCGGGCGGCCAGCGTCACGCACGCTCGTCCTTGTCCCTCGCCGGTGCCGATGATTTAGAGAGCGCAAGTCAGGCTCGCTCTGAACCATCAGCGGAATGGAATTGCCGTACGGGCGCGTCGGTGGGGCAGCCCCGCTCGCGAGCCTGACCTCGCTCCGCTCCGCACGTGTTCGGTGTGCCGCCGCGGGCGGCTTCCGTCAGCTGCGTCGGATCCGGCGGCCCACACGGCTCCCGCCCGCGGGCGCGGCTGAGCTGAAGACGGCACGCGCACGGAGTGACCGCGGCCCACCCGGACCGGGCGGCGGAGCCACCGTCTGGCGAGCGACGGCGCCCACTGCGGCCGCTGTCGCCCTCCGGCGGACGGAGCGGTGGGAAGTCGCGGATACTCCTGGAGCTGCCGCATGGCGCACAGGATTACAACTTGGACGTATGATTAGCGCACATGCTGGCCATGTGCTAGAAGAAGAAGAAGAGGAAGATGACGAGGAAGATGACGAAGATGAAGACTCCACAACTGGACTGATGAAGAAGGAAGATGATGATATTGTTGTTGTTGTTCATTATTGTAATGATGATGATGATTGTGATGTTGACTGTGACGACAATGATGATGATGATCAACGATTTGCTACGATTGCTGTGTGCGACAGTGAGACGTGCAGTGACAGCACCACTAACGACGACGATTATAATGACGACGACAATGACGTCGACGATGAAACTTGACGATGAACATCAACGCGGTGTTTGTTGTTGTTTTCTCGATGTTGCTACGCACCAGGGACCTGTTGGACCGCCTGGGATTCAAGGCCAGATAGGACAGCCAGGGCCCCTTGTGAGTCACACGCACACACACACCACCACAGCACTTGCGCCAGTCTAGGTGCACATTTAACCCCCCCCCCCCACCCCGTGGTCAGATCATCAGGCCTCCTCCCAGCCATCGATTGGGGAATTGTGCCGCATTGTTCATCCTGTTCATGGGTAAACATCACCGGATGTGCCGCGACCACAACAATCGTAATAGAGGCGTTCCGGTGTTGCCAACTACGACACCGGAACGCTTCGGAGGAGGCCGTGATCCTCTTGGCTGGTGGTGATGGTGGAGGCGTCGGGGGGAGGGTGGGGTTTGGGGGTGGGGGGGGGAGACCTCCATCCAGCAGTGGATCGACCTTGGCTCGTGGTCTTGTTGGAGGCGTCAGGGGGAGTGGGGGTGGGGTAACCTCCATCCAGGCCGTGCATTGCCCCCTGTGGTTCCGTTCACCGTTTCTTCTTCTGCTTCCTCTTCGCAGGGTCCTGACGGGGAGCCCGGTTTGAGGGGGCCCCAGGGCCCCTTTGGCCAGAAAGGGGATGAGGGGCCCAGGGGATACACAGGCCCACCGGGCCCTGCTGGCCTTCAGGTGAGGGGCCTGCATCACACTCACACGTGTGGTACGTGTGCGTGTGTGTGTATATACGTGTGTGTGTGTGTGTGTGGGGAGCGGTGGTGTAGCGGTTAGCGCTGCACTACGAACCCGGCGACCCGAGTGCGATTCTCGCTCACGGCCAACACCGGTGACGATTATCTGAAGCGGTCCTGGGTCTCCCATAGGTCGACTCAGCCTAAAATGAGTAGCTGGTGCAGTGTGTAAACATCGCTACTAGGGAGACAAAGGCGGCCGGGCGTGGTGCTGGCCACCCACCCTCTCGTGTGCTGTTCCGGCCTTCATAGGTGCTCGCTAACAGCACTTGCCCCTACAGTCTGTTAAGGCTATACGGGGGATCTTTGTCTTCGTTTGCCTTTGTGCGTATGTGTGTGTTGCGCACATACCGATTTACAGCAACACAAACGTACCAACGTACGGGCAAATATACAGGCGTCAGGAGGTCAGGATCGAACCCAACGGCCTGGTGTCCAGGAGGCCGTGGGTCCGCTTCTGGCCACGCTCCTATTCTCGATCATTCCCGTAGCCACTAGTCCATTCGTGCTGCAGGCTGACTCCCCTGTCATTATCTCCCGTGGCCACTAGTCCACTCGCACTGCAGGCTGACTCCACTGTCATTACCTCCCGTGGCCACCAGTCCCTTCGCACTCACAGCTGACTCCCCTGTCATTACCTCCCGTGGTCACTAATCCCTTCGCACTCACAGCTGACTCCCCTGCCATTACCTCCCGTGGTCACTAATCCCTTCGCACTCACAGCTGACTCCCCTGTCATTACCTCCCGTGGCCACCAGTCCCTTCGCACACACAGCTGACTCCCCTGTCATTACCTCCCTTGGCCACCAGTCCCTTCACACTCACAACTGACTCCCTTGTCATTACCTCCCGTGGTCACTAATCCCTTCGCACTCACAGCTGACTCCCCTGTCATTACCTCCCGTGGCCACCAGTCCCTTTGCACTCACAGCTGACTCCTCTGTCATTACCTCCCGTTGGTGACGTCACCGCCGCCATGGTGGGCGAACGACGGCGGTTCTTGTCGTCATTGTCATTGTTGTTATCGTTGTTGTCGTTGTTGTTGTTGTGTCTATATGCCCCGACAGCCTGCGCTACATGGGCTAAACCAGCGGGGGGTTGGTGGCAATCTTCGCCTCGGTTGTAATTGACGCATCTCTGCCGGTCGCCCCCCGCTCCCCCCCCCCCCCCGTGTGTGTCTCATCAGGGGTTGCCGGGAACGCCGGGCGACAAGGGCGACAACGGCGACGTGGGGTCCCTGGTGAGACGTCGCGAAAGACGCCGAGCCCCTCGCGGCAGAGCGAGAGACAGAGCGAGCGAGAGACAGAGCGAGAGACAGAGTGAGAGACAGAGTGAGAGAGAGACAGAGAGAGAGTGAGAGACAGAGAGACAGAGTGAGAGATAGAGTGAGAGACAGAGTGAGAGACAGAGACAGAGAGAGACAGAATGAGAGACAGATCAAGAGAGACAGAGCGAGAGACAGAGTGAGAGACAGAGCGAGAGAGACAGACAGAGTGAGAGAGAGAGACAGTGAGAGAGACAGCGAGGGACAGCGAGAGACAGAGTGAGAGACAGATCAAGAGAGACAGAGCGAGAGACAGAGTGAGAGACAGAGCGAGAGAGACAGAGAGAGAGACAGAGCGAGGGACAGAGAGAGTGGAGAGGGATGTAGATTGACGCTCTCTGCCTACGGGAAAGTTTTTGTAACCTCCAATTCCACCCCGCAGGCCCCCTCCCTCCTCCGCACAGCTCGGTGAGGATGTGAGCCATTATCGAAGCCGATGTTCCCCACAGTGATGTTGTGGTTAAACTCAACTATTATTTGCTTTATTATACCAGGTATGGCCCACTTGAGCTCTGTAGCTCGGTTTTCGGAAGCCACCTGGCCACAAATGATAGCTGAACGAAGTTGCTCATCATCATCGTCATCGTCGTGTGGAAATTTAGAGAAGCAGCCAAAAATACTGAATGCGTGATTTTGATTCTAAATGTGGATGGAATATCAACCACGGGGAGAGAACCATGCAAAATCCACATATACATCAGGCGTCAGGGTCGGGATTGAACCCACGACCTCCTGTACACCAGGCGAGGTAGTTAACATCTCCTAGCCACCGTGATGATGATGAGAGAGAGACACGCAAATTCCACATATACAACAGCAGGCGTCAGGGTCGGAATCGAACCCACGATCTCCTGTACACCAGGCGAGGTAGTTAACATCTTGCCTTGGTTAGTGGTACCAGGCTTGCGACCCAGAGGTTGCCGGTTCGGTTTCAACTCCTGGCGTGGAAGTTTACCCACAGGGGTGTGTGAGTTTCCTAAATGCCCCCCTGTCTCCCTCACTCACCCACATCCCCATCACTCCGGGCCTGTGTCCACCCAGCGGCGTAAATGGGTTCAAGCGCTGTCAGCCGGTGGGCAAGGTCGCGTGCTGTGCGGTCGAGTGTGGTTTGCTCCCACGCCCTCCAAGATGTATGGCTGGCATGGAAGAGTAGGCCAAAGTGTACCCCCTTCTGGATGGGGCTCTCGCGAGCTCCCTCTCCAGTAGAGGCGCCAACCGCCAGCAGTTGGAGCCGATGATGATTACGAGTGATGGTTTGATGATGATGGTGACGATGATATTAGCCTTTGGAAATCATCAGGATGACATTGATGCTGATGGTGATGTTTTACCTCGCCAACCGTGATAATCGGAGGTCCTCATGACGGATGATCTGCATCCATTGCGACTGCTGATGAGTGCGCTTCTGGTGGTGAATTTGCTGTGCTGACGATGACGACGATGGCAAATTGACGTTGCTGATGATGGTGGTGATAACGATGCTGCTGCTGATGATGACAATAACTATGTTGACACCGCTGATTACGATGATGACGATGATGATGACGACCGTAGCGATGATGATGATGATGATGGCGATGATGATGATGGCGATGATGATGATGGCTGTGACTCGCATCTCATTTGACAGGGTCCACCCGGCCCCCCGGGAAACCGAGGCCCCCCAGGATCGCAAGGTGCCGACGTAAGAGAACCCCCCCCCCCCCCCCCGAAGCGTCGTTCACACTCGCTCGCCCGCCCTCCTCAGCCGCGGTTCCACCTCCCGCGGCCTTTCTCGTCGGAGGCCTTCATCCAGCAGTGGATCGACCACGGCTGGATGACGATGAAAGCGCTCCACAGGCGCTCGGCGTTGCATTCCGTGCGAGGCTTTGCTGGGGGTGGGGAGGCCATAATGAAGTCTAACAAGTAGTAATAGTAGTCCTAGTAGTAGTAGTCGGAGTGGTAGTAGCGGTAGTAGTAGGAGAGGCTTTCACGACCAATAGCTATAACAGAGGGTTTCGTCGGTTCGATCGTGTCAATATGAATGTTGTGTCGTTAAACCCGCCACCACCCGAAATCTGCCCGTCGCCTGATGATGCCGGCGGTTGTGATTACCGGCGAAACGTCACCGGCTACTCGAATTGTGAAACATTGTAGCGGGTCCACTCTCCAACACACACGTGCTGTAGCGCTGTACTACTAACGAATTTGCCATGTGTTGTTTACGTGTTTACGCGATACAAACCACTACTAATTGGCTGTGTTTCGGGCGGTGGCGCGGTTTAATGAGGCATTTATATTTTACGCGATGCCACCCCCTCCCCCCCCCAAAAAAACCCTCTGTTATGGGCATCATGAACATTTATTTAAATCCTTCAAACATTTCCCGAAAATTTTCAAGGTCTTATTTTCGAAAGGTGTTGGGGGGTGGGGGGCGGAATTTATATATTTTTTCGGGCTGCCCTAGATTAGGTTTCTAGCTCATGCGTCAACAATTTTGGTAATGAACCAAGTAAGAATTATCGCGATATGAATGATAATAATAATAATGGAAAGCCCGCTGCAGAACGGCAGAATATGTCGTTTTTTTAACGTTTAAATTGTGTTGAGTGCCGCCGTATGTCACGTGGTGTGATATAGTCAATGTGGTGCGATGTGATCACGTGGTGCGATGTGATCACGTGGTGTGATGTAGTCAACGTGGTGTGATGTGATCACGTGGTGCGATGAAGTCAGGTGGTGCGATGTGATCACGTGGTGCGATGTGATCACGTGGTGTGATGTTGTCAACGTGGTGTGATGTGGTCACGTGGTGTGATGTAGTCAACGTGGTGTGATGTGATCACGTGGTGCGATGAAGTCAGGTGGTGCGATGTGATCACGTGGTGCGATGTAGTCAACGTGGTGTGATGTAGTCACGTGGTGTGATGTAGTCACGTGGTGCGATGTGATCACGTGGTGCGATGTGATCACGTGGTGTGATGTTGTCAACGTGGTGTGATGTGGTCACGTGGTGTGATGTAGTCAACGTGGTGTGATGTGGTCACGTGGTGTGATGTGGTCACGTGGTGGGATGAAGTCAGGTGGTGCGATGTGATCACGTGGTGTGATCACGTGGTGTGATGTAGTCATGTTACCACTTCAAGTGCGCGTGGTCATGCACCGTCACACTTTTGCCCGGTGCCCGGTAGTGTAGCAGTTAACGCGCTGCACTACGAACCTGGCGACCCGCGTTCGATTCCCGCTCACGGCCAACACCGGTGGCGATTATCTGAACCGGTCCTGGGCCTCCCCTAGGTCGACTCAGCCTCAAAATGAGCACCCGGTGCGGTGTGTAAACATCGCCACTGGGGAGACAAAGGCGGCCGGGCGCGGTGATGGCCACCCACCCCCTCGTGTGCGCCGTGCTGGGCTTTGTTGGCAGCGGCCGGGACGATGATGACCGTGAATCCCTCTCGCAGAGCGACAGAACAACGCGCGACCGTTAACTTTCTGCAAAGTTGCGTTGGTGATTTCTCGTCCTTGAGGTTAAACACCGAATGCATGAAGGTCTCAGCGTACTACGGAAGGGGTCAAGTTCCGTGTGCCCCCCGCCGTGCGCGGCGTTTGCGGATATAGTCGTGTAGATACTCATTGTATATCTACACTACTATATTACTATATACACTACTATATACACTACTATATACACTACTATATTACTAGATACACTACTATATACACTACCATATACACTACTATATTACTATATACACTACTATATTCACTGCTATATTACTATATACACTATTTTATTACTATATACACTACCATTTACAGTAGAACCTCTGGTCACGACCATAATTCGTTCCATAACTTTGGTCGCAACCCGATTTGGCCGTGACGCGAACCTAATTTCCACATTGGATTGTATGTAAAGACGATTAATCCATTCCAGACTCCTACGAACTGTATATAAATATTGTTTTTTAAAGATTTTTAAGCACAAAACTAGTTAATTATGCCATAGAATTCAGTGTAATAGTAAACTAAATGTAAAAACATTGAATAACACTGAGAAAACCTTAAACAACAGAGAAAACTAACATTGCCACGTCAAGGTTTAGAATCGTCCAACAAGATGATTGTTTCATCTGCTACATCAGTCGGTCGATTCTGAGAGAGAGAGAATATTCACATGATCAATTCATGTTTCTATTGAAAGTAACTTAACAGTAATCTGTGGGTACAGTATTGTTTTTGGAAGCATTCACCGTAATATCGTATGAACGTTTACTTCACCGCATCATCGTATGAATGATGCGAGAAGAGATTAACGGGCAGAGGTCGCAAACGGGTTTTGATTCCTTACCCGTACCCGTACCCAGCCGCACCAGAGGTCGCAATCGGGTACCCGATACCCGTACCCTACCCGATACCCGGCTACCCGTGCCCGGCCGGGTATCGTGTAGGGTACGGGTACCCGATTGCGACCTCTGGGATGAAGCCATGTTGCAGGCGCGGGTGGGTTCATTCTAGGATCTTGAATTGTGAGAAGAGACAAGACGTTGGGAAATGAGTGACAAACGGTTACTCACCAGTGACTCACGGCCTACCCGTACCCGGCCGCACCAGGGTCGCAAAACGGGTACCCGCACCCATACCCGGCTGGGTACGGGTAGCCGGGTATCGGGTAGGGTACGGGTATCGGGTACCCGATTGCGACCTCTGTTAACGGGTTCTTATGTTAGCGATTTACGTACTCGGCACTTTCGCTCTCTAAATTACGGCTTGAATGATGGGGGAGGGGTATGACTACACTCACAAAATTAATATCTTACTAGGAATTTTATATAACAAAAGATATGCACATAACTGGTACGCTTTGTGTAATTCAACAACAACAAAAATGGCGCGAAGGGGATTCTGGCTTAGCAATCAATGGAAGGATTTGATGAACCATTTCGGGTCTTAATTGATTGTGTTCACGCTTACGGTGACTTTCAGACCTCATTCCATTTTCCTCTCCCCCCTCCTCTTTTCCGAACATAGATGGACTCGTCCATCTGACCAACTGCTAAATCGCTGTCCATGGTGCTGACGTTAAGAAAAACCGCCACTTTTTTCAAATTTTCTTGCTGTGGATTTCACACCTGATGATGATTGCTTGTGTTGCAGTCGAAACGTCGTGAGAATTTTTATTGTTTTATATTTTTATTTAATTGTATTATTTACCTTCTACGTGACTTTACCGAAATAACCAAGAATATACTATATTACTATATACACTACTATATACACTACTATATACAATACTCTATTACTATATACACTACTATATACAATACTCTATTACTATATACACTACTATATACAATACTATGTTACTCTTTACACTATATTACAATAAACTACTCTTGCTATACACTACAATTTTACTATCCACTGCTATACACGACTATATATTACTACACAAGTACATATCTATAAAATGCAAGAGTGAATATAAAATTTGTATAAATGCGCGTAAATGTTTAATGGGGGGACAGCACCGCACGGCAACTGATTCACTAATCATCCGTACGTGATGAATACGAAACGCGCGAGCCGGGCGAACTCATCCCCCCTTGCGCGCGCGATAGTCACGCGCCGCCAAATCCATCCCGCTCCGCGTGATCGCAGCGGCCGTGGGCGACTTGACCCCTCGCTTCCCGCTCCGTGCGCGCGCGGAGCGGAAATCGCGCAAAGGTTTAAGTAACGAGTCATGGGGTGGCGGGAGAGAGACCGCTCGCGTAGGAGCGGGCCCCCCCCCCCCGCCTGTACTCTCCCGACACCACGCCGCATTTAATGGGGAATTCCTGGTCGCGTCAGAGGAATCCGATGGGCCGTGAAGCTTTTTATTCACAGATGTTCCAGTAACGAGATCCCACCCCACCCCCCACCCCCCCCCCATCCCCACCCCCCCCCCCCATCCCCACCTCCCCCACCCCTACGGGGGTCAGAAGGTCACGGCGACAAGCGGTTTTAAAAACGCAACGGCCGCGTTCACCGCGGCCATGGGGTCACTCTAGCGGAACGATGCGGGGGGGGGGCGGTGTCCGTGCGCCGGCGATGTCCACGGTGCTCGTGGTTTTCTGATTTTCTCTCCACCACCCCCCCCCCCCCCGCTGTGCCTCTCCCCCCTTCTCTCATCGCAGGGCCCGCAAGGACCGCTGGGAGCCATCGGAAACCCTGGCGCGTCCGGAGAAAAGGTGAGGCTAGGTTTTATTGTGTCTCTCCTCCTCTTCCCGACGCGACCGTCAGAGTTTCCCTCGAGGGTGGGGGGAGGGGGGTGTTTTGAACAATTCCTGGCGCCGTTATCGCGGTCTCGCCACTTGCGTGCCGAAGAGGTCGCGGGGCGAATGTCCCTCGGGGGCCGCTCCTCCGCCCGCCCCCCCCCAGCCCCCCCCCCAGCCCCCCCCCGCCACAGAATCGGCAATCCGACGGAAGCAGATCTCAAGGCTCTGTGGGACTCGTCATCGGCGTTGTCCGCGTGTGGCTCGGCAAGCGTCTGGTGATCCTGACAAAGCCCCCTCAGTCCCAACCAGCCCTGAGCACTCCACTCCCACACCTCCACCCACACCTCCACCCACACCTCCACCCACACCTCCACCCACACCTCCACCCACACCTCCACCCACACCTCCACCCGCACCTCCACCCGCACCTCCACCCGCACCTCCACCCGCACCTCCACCCACACCTCCACCCACACCTCCACCCGCACCTCCACCCACACCTCCACTCGAACCTCCACCCACATCTCCACTCACATCTCCACCCACACCTCCAACAACACCTCCACCCACACTTCCACCCACACCTCCCCCCACACCACCACCCACACTTCCACCCACACCTCCATCCACACCTCTCCTCACACCACCACCCACACCTCCACTCCCACACCTCCACCCGCAGCTCCACTCGAACCTCCACCCACACTTCCACCCACACCTCCACCCACACCACTGCAGCATCGGGAGCGCCGTTCCTCCCGGATTATTCCGGGTGAGAGCGAGGCACGGGTCACACGCAGCCTGCCGGACCCGAGCCACCACCCCCCCCGCCCGCTTCCCCCCCACCCCGCACCGCCAGCCGCCCCCACCTCGTTCACATCGTAAATTAATAAGCGCATCGCCACTCTAGATTTTAAGCTTTTGTGACTGGTTATTTCGGTAAAGTCACGTGGGTATAAAATATAATTTATTTTATACCTACGTGACTTTACCGAAAGAAACACAGAGTGTCGCCACTCTATATGCTGGGGGCGGGTGTGTGTTGCTTTGTCGTGTGTGTGTGTGCGAGTGTGCGTGCGAGTGTGCAAGTGTGCGTGCGTGTGTGCGTGCGTGTGTTGGGTGGCATCTGTGCGCTGCCAGGACCAACGCTGGCTCTTGAATCGTCTCATTAAAATTAATGTGGATGCCGGAGCGTTCTCTCCGCGCGTGCGGTGTGCGTGTGTGTGTGTGCGTGTGTGTGTGCGTGTGTGTGTGTGTGCGTGCGTGTGTGTGTGTGCGTGTGTGCGCGTGTGTGTGTGTGTGTGCGTGTGTGTGTGCGCGCGTGTGTGCGTGTGTCTGTGTGTGTGTGCGTGTGTGTGTGTGCGCGTGTGTGCGTGTGTATGTGTGTGTGTGTGCGCGTGTGTGTGTGCGTGTGCGCGTGTGCGAGTGTGTGCTCATGTGTGCGTTTGTGCGTGTGTGTGCGTCTGTGTGTGTGCGTGTGCGCGTGTGTGTGTGCGTGTGTGTGCATGTATGTGTGTGTGTGTACGTGTGTATGTGTGTGTGTACGCGTGTGCGTGTGTATGTGTGTGTGTGTACGCGTGTGCGTGTGTATGTGTGTGTGTGTACGCGTGTGTGTGTACGTGTGTGGGAGCGGTAGTGTAGCGGTTAGCGCGCTGCGCTATGAACCTGGCGACCCGGGTTCGATTCCCGCTCACGGCTAACACCAGTGACGATTATCTGAACCGGTCCTGGGCCTCTCCTAGGTCGACTCAGCCTGAAATGAGTACCTGGTGCGGTGTGTAAACATCGTCACTAGGGAGACAAAGGCGGTCGGGCGTGGTGCTGGCCACCCACCCCCTCGTGTACCGTTCCGGCCTTGATAGGTGCTCGCTAACAGCACTTGCCCCTACAGTCTGTTCAGGCTATACGGGGGATCTTTGTCTTTGTGTGTACGTGTGGGGAGCGGTGGCGTAAGCGGTTAGCGCTTGCGCTACTGAAGCGTGCTCGCCCGAGTTCGATTCCCGCTCGCGGCAAACACCGGTGACAAATATCTAATCCGGTCCTGGGCCACCCCTAGGTCGGCTCAGCCTCAAATGAGTACCCCTGGTGCGGTGTGTGGTAAACATCGCCACCAGGGAGACAAAGGCGGCCGGGCGCGATTCCGACCACCCAGCCCCTCGTGTGCCGTGCCCCCCTTCATGGGTGCTGCTACTCGGCTAACAGCCCTCGCCCCAACAGTCTGTTCAGGCTGCGCGGGGCATCTTTGTCTTTGGTGTGTGAGCCAAGTGCGTTACGGGGAGTGGTGGCGCAGCGGTTTGGCACGCCGCGCCACCACCATCGCGAGCTTGACAGAGCCTCTGGTGACGGTGGCCAAGTGCGGTTGTGGCCACACAATAACGCGTCCTCATCCACTGCGGCTTTTACAGGCACTCGCTTAACAGCACTTGCTCCGACAACCTTTGTCCTGGTCTTTGTTCACGTGGCCTGCTCCGCTCGCTGTGTGTCTGCGTGTCTGTGTGCAGGGAGATGTGGGGGAAGGCGGACGGCCAGGGCAACCAGGAGAGTTGGGTCCTGTGGTACGTACACACGCGCACACACACGTGTACGAATGCACACACACACAACAACAAACAACAACCGCCATTCGCCACTAAGTGGCGGTGACGTCACCACGATGCTTGTGCCAGGCCAAGTGCACCTTGAGGCCACGTGAAGTGTCGAAAGCCCGCTGGCAGGAGGTCACGGGGCAGACCCAGCAGGTGCCACGGGTCGACTGACCGAGATGACCGAGATGACTGGCTGATGCACCACCTGTGCCCCCTACTGTGCCAACTTGCTGTGCTTTAGCCACCCGGCGCTCCGCTCGTTGTTGTGAGCGTCGCTCCTCCGCCCTCCGTTGTTGTTGGAGGGCGACTGCCTCCAACTGCCCAGTAGCGTCCTTCACGAGCCTCCTCCACTGAGGCCGATCTTGACACCGCTGGTACCAGTCATCGGCAAGTCCACTCAGCTCCACGTCCTCCTGTACCACATCACTCCATCTCTTCTCCAGCCCGTGCCGCGCCCGTCTAGCCCCCTCGATCCGGCCGAACAAAAGCTGTTTAGGCATGCGGTGGCTGGGCATGCGGGCTACATGACCCAGCCAACGCAGCCTTGCCTGCCGGAGGAGCTCACTGATGGGACTTTGCCCAGATCTTTCAAGGATTTGTGAGCTCCTCACACAATCCAGCCTGGTTAAACCCAGGATGGATCGTAGGCAGGCCAGCCTAAATGTTTCCAACCGGCGAAGATGCTCCACCAGGGGGGTCCACGTCTCGCAAGCGTAGAGAAGGGAGGGAATGACCGTGGCCGAGAAGACCTGAAGCTTCGTGCGGAGCGACAGACCAGGTAGCTTCCACACAGCGTTACGCAACCGATGAAAAGATATTGCCGCTCGACTGATTCGGAGTGAGACCTCTGCTGATAGACTGGAGCCGGTCATAAGCACACTGCCCAGGTATGGGAAACTCTCCACTCTCTCCACAACTGCCCCATCACCAATTGGGAGTTGTGGGGGTGGAGTGTCCGATGGTACAAAATACCCAGGCAGGTGCTTAGTTTTGGTGGGGCTGATGGTAAGGCCCCACCTCTTAGTGGCACGCTCCAGTCTCAGCAGCAGCGTCTCCAACTCCTCCTCTGAGTGAGCAGCTATTACCAAATCATCGGCATACATAACGTGGTTGACCAATAGGGAGCCATCCCTTGATCGCACCCGGGCGTCGATCAGCTTCCCATTATATCTGTACCAAATGGAAATTCCCCCGGTACAGCTATTGAAGGCTTCACGAACTACGCGGTCAAAATAGATGTTAAATAATGTGGGAGCCAGAGGACATCCCTGTCGCACCCCAAGGTGTACAGGGAAAGGCTCCGACTCCCGGCCACGTAGTTTTACCCGGGCCCGCTCACCATCATGAAGGTCCTTAATGATCGTGAGCAGAGGGTCAGGGACTCCGAAAGCACGAAGAACAACCCAGAGCCCAGGCCCACTGATGGTATCATAGGCCTTGACCAGGTCAAAAAAGCAGAGATGTAGGTCTTTTTGGAATTCCCTACACCTCTGCTGTAGCAGACGGACAGAAAATATGGCATCTGTGCAGGACCGCCCCTTCCTGAAACCGCATTGGGGCTCCGCAAGCCTCTCCTCAGCGTGCCTAGCAAGGCGATGTTGAATAATCCTTGCCAGGACCTTACCCGGCACACTGAGGAGTGAAACAACCTCCTACCTCCTCGCGGTGCCGGACGGGCAACACTGTCGTGGGCAGTGCTGTGGGGGGAGGGCCAATGCCCATTGGCCTCTCCCCTCATGGCGTCTGTGACCACCACAGTGGCTAAACGGGGGCTCTGGACGGGTGTGAGGGGCTGGTAACCCCTCCACCTTCAATTAACCACCACTAAACCACGAATTAAACATAAACACACACACGCACACACACGCACACACATGTACCCGCATGCACACACACACGTGCACGCACGCACACACACAAGTACACACACACGCATGCACACACACGTGCACGCACACACACACACACATGCACACACACGCACACGTGCACGCATGCACACACACACACGTGCACACACACACACGCACACACACGCACATCCGCATACACACGCATGCACACACACACGTGCACACACACACGCACGTGGACACACACGCACATGCACACACACGCACGCACACACGCACACGCACACACACGCACACACACGTGTGATGAACACGAAGAGCGATGGACCCTGCGGAGGCGAGGGGACTGCGAAACAAAATGAACGAAGGGATGGCTACATTCAGTAGGGAAGAGAAACTCACACACAGCGCAGGAGGAGGAGGGGGTGGGGGTGGGTGCAATGTTTTTCCACCGCCCGCCTTTCAAGCTCGTGCCGCTAATGGACTCGCCGCTTCACGCCACCACCACCACCACCGTCGCCACCACCACCATCGCCACCACCACCATCACCACCACCACCACCACCATCACCACCACCACCATCACCACCACCACCACCATCAACACCACCACCATCACCACCACCACCGTCGCCACCACCACCACCACCATCACCACCACCACCATCACCACCACCACCACCACCATCACCACCAACACCACCACCATCACCACCACCACCACCACCACCATTACCACAACCACCATCACCACCACCACCGTCGCCACCACCACCACCACCATCACCACCACCACCACCACCACCATCGTCGCCCCCCCCCCCCCCCATTCCATCATCGACTGCCAAATTCTCCGCAGCGGCGCGAGAGTGCCGAGGCGGGGGTGCGTGTTTGATGCGCGTGCCTCGCGGCAAGGACTACATCTAAACTATTAAAACTCTATTTTTTTACGATTATTTTTATCACCAGGTAAAGGCCCCCCCCCCCCACTCCCAACCACTGAGTCTGTGTGGGGCTCCTCTTTTTGTCAGAAGCGACCCAGCGATTGGGAACGATGGCGCAACGAAGTGGCTCGTCGTCGTCATGGGGACTCGGAGCGGGCAAATGCTCTGAACGATAGATGTCGATTCCAAATGTGGAGGGGGAAAACCAAAGGACCCCCGGATAAAAATCCACGCGGTTGACCACGGAGAGAGAGAGACACGCAGATTCCAAATATACAGCAGTAGGCGTCAGTGTCGGCTATCGAACCCACGACCTCGTGCAAACCATGCGAGGTAGTTAACATCTCCCTAGCCACCGTGATGATGATGAGAGAGAGAGAGAGAAACACAAAACACTCTAAATATACAGCAGGCAGGCTGTATGTTTGGGGAGCGCCCGGAGGGGGGGGGTCATCCAGGAGATCTCTGTGTGAGTCTGTGGGTCTCTGTGTGATTCTATGGCTGTCTCTGTGAGTCTGTCGAGGTGTTTTAATTTCACGAGTAAAATCGTCAATTACGTGTCTATCAAGGAGAGCCATAGGACTGGTTTGCAGGGTGGGCCCTACTGCTTCATTGGGGTTGTTATTGTAGGGGTGTTAAAGAGAGGGCCCGTTATGCATGGCAGCCTATGGAAAACAAACACAGTGGGCGGGGCTACGTAAGTGCACGAGCAAGTGCCCTCTACGACGTCCGAGCCAGACACCCTGGGGGGGGCTGGTTCGAACGTTATGATCCCCCGGGGCCCCACCCCTCAGGGAGGGGTTGGGTATAAAAGGGGATGTTTCAAAGGGCTCGGCAGTTATGTTTAAGCTAAGGGAAGAAGATTGAAGACGTCTTAGATAGAGCCCTGGACTCCCTGGTTCGATGTCCTTTCAGGGCCGGACAGGATTGAGCCAGCGGCGTGGTCCCGAAAGCCAGAGCCGGTGATCTTGTAAGGGCTGGTCTGGAACTCCGGGTACCGGGCCCGACTTACCAGTGTCGGGCCAGTTAGCCTCCCCTAGCCCATTAGTGGAGGATTCGGGGCTAGGACAGAGTTAGCTAGGGGTGTATCCCGAGTTATACGGGTGAGGGGGCCGATACCCCCTCGAGAGTGTATATGCCCACTGTCATACTGTGAAATAAATATACGTGTGCCTCAACCTCGGCGTCAAGCGTCTTCACCGGTACTTCATTATCATGTGGACGCCTTCAGCCAATTACTGATGAAGCCACAGGGGCATTGCCTGAAACGTCTGCAATTACTTCCTTTTAAACGCCACGGAGGTTCCTGACGAACGTGCCCGGTTTAATGTCCGGTGCAGCCAGCGCAGTGCACCGAACATCACCGCCACCACCGCTGCAGCCACTGGACTCCCCATCTCACCCGCAAATTAGTCCTCGCTTTATCTCTCCCAAAAGAAGCGTTGATATTTTGATGAAAGTCCGAGTGGACCGCTGATGGTGCTGGCCACCCACCCCCTCGTGTGCCTTGACGCCCTTCACAGGCGCTGGCTAGCAGCGCTTGCCCCAACAGTCTGTTCAGGCCACATGGGGGGATCTTTGTCTTCAATTATTTTTTCATGGCTGTTGTTATATATATTTTTTTAATGGCCGTGGATCGCCGAGCGTGGCCAGCTGCGTATCCCACGACTCGTTAGCGAGCCTGGCTCCGCCACAAGCCTCCTTCCAAACACCTCTCACCCACCACCCCCCCATCTTTCTCTCTCCTCTCTCTCTCCACCTCTGCGGGGGTGGCGGAGAATTTGTTTGAGAAGTCGGGGAGCTGGCCAGAGGGTGCTGCTGGGAAGCTCCCCCCCCCCCCCCGGCGTGGCCAATCGGTTCTTGGCTCCACCCGTCACCATTCCAGTCTCCCGGCGCGGCGGTTAAAGGTCAACGGTCTGAATTAAACCGAAGGCTGTAAACGGAAACTGATGTCATTTTTTTCCCAAAAAAATTCAACTTTTTTATTTTATTTTACCCGGGTAAGGGCTCCGCACCGACCTCCGTGGCTCTTTCTCAGATGCGACTCCTCCTCGCTATCACCATCATCATCACCATCGTCATCATCACCATCACCATCATCACCATCGTCATCACCATCATCATCACCATCATCAGCATCATCACCATCACCATCATCACCATCATCATGACCATCATCACCACCATCATCACCATCATCATGACCATCCTCATCACCATCATCACCATCATCGTCACGTGGAAATTCATAGCAGCGGCCAGAAAAACCCTGAACGCATGGTGAGGTTCAGCAGTGGCACGAGCGAGGGAGCGAGGATCTCGACATGCGTCACCCCTCGTGGGGGGGGGGGGGGGGGTGGCATGGGGGAGGGGAGGTGGGTGGCAGGGGGTGGGGTAGGGGTTGGGGGTGCGGTGTTTTCCGGTCGTTTGACGCCTCATTCAGATTATTTGCCAGCTGTCCACATCTGAAGATTGAATATAGAACGTCGAACCCACGCCGTGTGAGAGCAATCGGCCAAACCAACATTCATCCGGCCACGTGATCGAGTGGTCTCGTGTGTGTGGTCACCGCGCAATGGTCGGCCAACTACCCTACGAGCCCAGAGACCCGTGTTCGATGCCTGCTCATGGCCAACGACAGCAGCAAATGTTTGAACCGGTCCTGGGGACTTTCCAGGTCGACTAAACCTTTAACGGTGAGACGCAGGCGGCCATGCTCACCAGCCCCACCTCCCCGTGTGCCGTGACGGCCTGGATGGATGCCACTCGCCTCCGGCACTTGCCCCGATTGCTTGTTGAAGGCTACACGGGGATCTCCGTCTCTTTTGCGTGTACGCAGGGCCCTCTCGGAGAGAAGGGAGATCGGGGCGAGGCCGGGAACGCGGGCACCCCGGGGCCGGCGGGCGGCCGTGGGCAGATAGGGGAAGATGGCCCCAAGGGCCACCCTGTGAGTGGCACATCACCAACACCATCATCACCAACATCGCCACCACCAACACCATCACCAACATCGCCGCCACCACTACAGCCATCACCACCAGAACCGTCATCACCATCACCAACATCGCCACCACCGCCACCACCACAGCCATCACCACCAGAACCGTCATCACCATCACCAACATCACCACCACAGCCACCACCACAGCCATCATCACCACCATCACCACTACCACTACCACAGCAGGCACCACCACCACAGCCATCACCAACACCACCACCACCATAGCCATCACCACAGCCACCACCGCCACAGCCATCACCGACACCACCACCATCACCAACATCGCCACAGCCGCCACCACCACAGTCATCACCAACACCATCATCACAGCCATCACCATCATCACCACCACAGCCATCATCACCACCAACACCATCACCACTACCACAGCAGCCACCACCACCACCACGGTCGCCATCACCGCCTGTGACCACTCCGGTTCCTCGTCTCCAGGGCCCCGTGGGATTCCCCGGAGACCTGGGAGTGCCGGGCGAGCCGGGACCCCCCGGTGAGTGTCCAACGTGACCCCCGCGCCTCCCCTGCGTAGAGCCCTCCACCATCACCTCCACCATCATCTCCACCTCCACCATCACCTCCACCATCATCTCCACCATCACCATCACCTCCACCATCACCTCCACCATCACCTCCACCATCACCTCCACCATCACCACCACCATCACCTCCACCATCACCTCCACCATCACCTCCACCATCACCTTCACCATCACCATCACCTCCACCATCACTTCCACCTCTACCATCACCTCCACCATTACCTCCACCTCTACCATCACCCTCCACCATCACCTCCACCATCATCTCCACCTCATCTCCACCTCCACCATCACCTCCACCATCATCTCCACCATCACCATCACCTCCACCATCACCTCCACCATCACCTCCACCATCACCTCCACCATCACCACCACCATCACCTCCACCATCACCTCCACCATCACCTCCACCATCACCATCACCTCCACCATCACCTCCACCATCATCTCCACCTTCACCATCACCTCCACCATCACCTCCACCATCACCTCCACCATCACCTCCACCATCACCATCACCATCCACCATCAACCACCTCCACCATCATCTCCACCTCCACCATCACCTCCACCATCATCTCCACCATCATCTCCACCATCACCATCACCTCCACCATCACCTCCACCATCCCCTCCACCATCACCTCCACCTCCACCATCACCATCACCTCCACCATCACCTCCACCATCACCTCTACCATCACCTCCACCATCACCTCCACTGTCACCTCCACCTCCACCATCACCATCACCTCCACCATCACCTCCACCATCACTTCCACCATCACCTCCACCATCACCTCCACCATCACCCTCCACCTTCACCTCCACTATCACCTCCACCATCACTCCACCATCACCTCCACCATCACTTCCACCATGACCTCCACCACCATCTCCACCGTCACCTCCACCATCACCTCCACCTCCACCATCACCATCACCTCCACCATCACCTCCACCATCACTTCCACCAGCACCTCCACCATCACCTCCACCATCACCATCACCCTCCCCATCACCATCACCTCCACCATCACCTCCACCATCACCTCCACCATCACCATCACCTCCACCATCACCATCACCTCCACCATCACCTCCACCATCACCCTCCACCATCACCATCACCTCCACCATCACCATCACCTCCACCATCACCTCCACCATCACCTCCTGAATCGTGCGTGTGTGCCGCACGGATGTTGAACTTCTCATGCACCGGGCGACGTGGCCAAGCGGTGCCCATCGGAGGTGCGGCGGGGCCAAGGACGACAACACGAAAACAGAAAAGCACTTCGAAAGAAATAAATATGTTTCCAATTTTAATATAGTAGTGTAGTGTATAGTGCAGTGGGTAGCGGAGTGTATAGTGTCGTGTATAGTGCATTGTATAGTAGTGTATAGTGTAGTGTGTAGCATGGTGTGTAGTGTAGTATGTATTGCATTGTATAGTGTATAGCGTAGTATATAGTGCAGTGGGTAGCGTAGTGTATAGTGTAGTATGTAGTGGGCAGTGTATAGTGTAGTGTATAATGTAGTGTTTAATGTAGTATGTAGTGTATAGTGTAGTATATAATGTAGTATGTAGTGTATAGTGTAGTATATAATGTATGTAGTGTATAGTGTAGGTATATAATGTAGTATGTAGTGTAATAGTGTAGTATGTAGTGTATAGTGTAGTGTATAGTGTAGTATGTAGTCTATAGTGTAGTGTATAGTGTAGTATATAATGTAGTATGTAGTGTATAGTGTAGTATGTAGTGCATAGTGTAGTATATAATGTATGTAGTGTATAGTGTAGTGTATAGTGTAGTATATAATGTAGTGTATAGTATAGTATGTAGTGTATACTGTAGTGTATACTGTAGTGTAATGTAGTATGTAGTTTAGTGTATAGTGTAGTGTATAGTGTAGTATATAGTGTAGTATGTAGTGTATAGTGTAGTATATAGTGTAGTATATAGTGTAGTGTATAGTGTAGTATGTAGTATATAGTGTAGTGTATAGTGTAGTATATAGTGTAGTATGTAGTATATAATGTAGTATATAATGTAGTATATAATGTAGTATATAGTGTAGTATGTAGTGTATAGTGTAATGTAGTGTTTGTACGTTAAGCTTCTTTCGGCACCGTACGTTGCCAACTGTGCAAATTTGAGGTGCGGGGGAAGGACAACAAACCCAAGAATTAGTTTTTCATTTATTCAAATCGTTCAAGGAAGATTTGCGACATCAATTTTATAACAGTTGATTTTTAGTTTAGATTAAACCTGATTCTAATTTATCAGTTCATTTTTTTTCTGGGGTTAAACGAAGCTTATTTTAATAAATCTTTCCTCTTGAATTGGCTGTTCGTTATTCATCGTCTCAAACTGTGCATTCTTAAACGTACGTCCATCCGGCGCTCCGCTGGGTGACATGCATTGTGGTGGCGATGTCCTGGCCCGCTTGGGGGCACAGCCTGGCTGCAAACCCCACGGTGACGTGCGAGCCACCCGTGCCCCCCATTCCCCCCGTGCCCCCCGTGCCCCCCCGTGCCCCCCATGCCCCCCGTGCCCCCCGCGTGATCGTGGTGGTGCTGCTGCTTGCGATTGTAGGGGCAAGACGGCGCGCCGGGCGACGCTGGAGACAGGGTGACCCGGGAGAGCCGGTGAGTGTCCGCCAGAGGAGGCGGCCACCAGTGACTCGCATCGAAACGCACTGACAACCATAGAGACTCATAGACTTGCATAGAGACCCATAGACTTGCATAGAGACGCATAGACTTACATAGAGACTCATAGACTTGCATAGAGACCCATAGACTGCATAGAGACTCATAGACTTGCATAGAGACCCATAGACTTGCATAGAGACCCATAGACTTACATAGAGACCCATAGACTAGCATAGAGACCCATAGACTTGCATAGAGACCCATAGACTTGCATAGAGACCATAGACTTGCATAGAGACCCATAGACTTGCATAGAGACCCATAGACTTGCATAGAGACCCATAGACTGACATAGAGACTCATAGACTTCCATAGAGACCCATAGACTTGCATAGAGACTCATAGACTTGCATAGAGACCATAGACTTGCATAGAGACCATAGACTTGCATAGAGACCCATAGACTTGCATAGAGACCCATAGACTTGCATAGAGAACCATAGACTTGACATAGAGACCCATAGACTTGCATAGAGACCCATAGACTTGCATAGAGACCCATAGACTTCCATAGAGACCCATAGACTTACATAGAGACCCATAGACTTACATAGAGACTCATAGACTTGCATAGAGACCATAGACTTGCATAGAGACTCATAGACTTGCATAGAGACCCATAGACTTGCATAGAGACCCATAGACTTGCATAGAGACTCATAGACTTGCCTAGAGAGACCCATAGACTTGCATAGAGACCCATAGACTTGCATAGAGACTCATAGACTTACATAGAGACCCATAGACTTGCATAGAGACCCATAGACTTGCATAGAGACCCATAGACTTGCATAGAGACCCATAGACTTACATAGAGACCCATAGACTTGCATAGAGACCCATAGATGCATAGAGACCCTAGACTTGCATAGAGACCCATAGACTTACATAGAGACCCATAGACTTGCATAGAGACCCATAGACTTCCATAGAGACCCATAGACTTGCATAGAGACCCATAGACTTACATAGAGACCCATAGACTTGCATAGAGACCCATAAACTTGCATGAGACCCATAGACTTGCATAGAGACCCATAGACTTGCATAGAGACCCATAGACTTACATAGAGACACATAGACTTGCATAGAGACTCATAGACTTGCATAGAGACCCATAGACTTGCATAGAGACCCATAGACTTGCATAGAGACTCATAGACTTGAATAGAGACCCAT